GCTTGGGACCGGACCACAGTGTGCATATGAGGAGGGTGTGCACTTATAGAGGGTGCACTTATAGAGTTCTCACTGTAGTAAAAATTGGATATTTATATAGACAAAATTATTACACCAAAAAGGCAATAGCCGCTGCTGCTGGTGCGGTTGTGTATTAATTTATTGATTTGTATTTCGTTTGAAAAATTGTAGCAACTAACCAAAATGTGAGGATACGGCTATGTATTGATTTATTGATATAATATTTAGTCAACAAAGCGCGCGTTACAACAATGTTTATTTTCGAGTTATTTGCTCTGGTAAGTAATGCTTCGGTAAATAAATATTGGAGTGAAGAATATTTCAGCGAAAACAAAATTGTTGAACGATTATTCTATTCAAAGTCGCACTATAAATCGGATGACATAATTGTCGATACAAAAAATTACCCAATTATTAGAAAATGCAAAACTTACAACTGCCCGGCACTGGTCAGTTATATATGTGCACTGTTAACAATAATGATTCGAATTGAATCGATAGAACAGGGTTAATAGATTACTGCTCAACATTTTATTTTATTCGGGGTCGTCAGCATCTTGTTAACTCGACCTGTAATGTTATGACGTATTGTTGTTTTCCATGTACTATCAAGTTTAAGTATAGTCACATTGTTCATGTAGTGAAAACGATCATCAAGCACTTTTCTTTTGGGCTATTCCCCCGAAAATAACTAATTCATCAAAACTAAATACTAATAAAATAACGTCTAAAATATTCACTCAAATAGGCCCCAGGGAGGTAACAAGTGACAACATTAATCAAACATGCAGAGAGACCGGTTATAGCTAGCGACTTGGCATAATCATCTGAACTATGGTTTACTGCTATCCAGGTCGCAACCCAAAACCAGATGCCAAAAACCAAATTCCAACATGAATATACAGTGCAGTGGGAATTCAATCCGGAATCGATCCGAATACCCGATATATTTGCATCCGCTTCAAACGGATCAAAATCGGGCCAGAATGAATTGACCAAGATGAGGTAGTGTTCTTTTCCTGTTTATAAATATGTAAATGCGATATAAAACAGATTGGATCTAGCACATTATTATATGAGCTACGATACTGTTACCTAAGAACATTCCCAACAAATGGATCATTGTATAAGTTGCAGAAGCTTTGCCGGCTGTATAGCCTATAAGACACAGACGCCATAGAACTTCTCCTATACCCCAATATATTAAATATATACGTCTTTCCTGGTAATGGTTGGCATGCTACCAATGAAGAATTTACGAAAAGTATGTTAGAAGCATCAGCGTCAACCTTACCATTGACGTTTTTAGTTACAGTTCGATTGATACCACACATTTAACATTACGTCACTTACTCTTAACAGTTGAATCAATATTATTATTATAGCTGACAATAATACAGCATTAACAATGAGAGTTAAATAAACATATATGAGGACACATTGCGGAACATGAACTGAAGCTTTACGATAACTATAGCCATTTGCGTCTCCTGTCTCTGTAGCAGCAATAACTGTGACCGCATCACTTTCGTTTGATTCTATAGCTATAGATAACTGGCAGAGATTGATTTCTTCAAACGTTGGCGGAGTGAGTGAGGGTCCATGTTCGGTAGGTGGTGTTGTGGGGCGTGCTTGCGAGGTCGACATGTTAAAAACCGGTAAAGTGTTTGATAAATTCCAATTTCATATACAACAATCCATAATTCGTTGTATGCACGCACTGATGAATGTGCCACACAAAGAATCATTTATATGCACACTCCCAGGGATGTGTGTTGTACACATGACTAATAGACAAGTTGTTGCTTACTTTCCTCAAACAAAATGTGTCCACATTTTTTTCTGATGCACATTGGGAACTACTATGCAAACTTAATCCGTTTAATTAGGTACATGACCCCAGCTGAAAAGGAGTCTCATTTCGACAAAGTGCGAGTTCAGTCTACTTATTTTGTATCTTGCTTAGAGGACGGAATCCGAGAAATTTACAACCGGATGAAACTATGTGAACTACACGACGACTTCTCCTTGTTTCAAGTGGCATTGAACGTGGAAACCTATTCGTCACATGACTTCGACGGGTAATTAAGCAAAGGATTCAAAGGTGGGATGATTAACTAATGTTTGTCATCAGATTCCTCCTCTCTAACGACCTTCCAGCGTGCGACAGCATATATAACCCTACGAGGAATGACTCCAACAGCAAAAAAATATCCGCAGTCGACTTGGGTTTGGAATCGGATAGTTCAAAGGTCAGCCACTAACCATACCGAAAACATTGCTCGGTCGGCAAACCCAAAGTTCTTTCCAGGGTATAGTAATCGTAATATGGCTTTTATTTTGGCAAATATCCATTCGCAAAAGCCACCTTTTCTACTCAGTAGAACAACGCAAACGGATGAATCATTTCCACACATTCGAAAGAAAAGTGCACATCTCGGATCATGTATAATAACTGCTTAAAGATACTCGCTCATATAAGCAAAGATTATTGTATGTGACATGTCTAAAATCGAACGGCTTTATCTTTCACAGCTTGACTTGATCCGATTTCGTCCAGCACAACTTCATTGGCGCGCGCCTCCGAAGGCTATATATTGTATGGGTCAACAAGACACGATGCTGCCGTCGAGTAGTAGTTTTCATGCTTTACACCTCATTAATTGAGTAATCAAGTCAACACAACTACAGTATTGCGTTGAGCACAGTTAAATGCATTTAAGTAGAGTGAATCTCAGTCACTTGCCAGCATATGTCAGACTTAAGTTTATGATTCCTTTACAAGAGAAAATTGAACGTTCTCATACAAGGTGGATTTTATAAGTATGTGAAGGAAAGAAGAGAAGGAGCATACTGTACGAAAGAAGATCGTGCAAGATTCCAAAATCACATACTAACTTTCTCCCTCCATGTCATGTCATATGGGACAGAAGATTATTATTACCTAAAGTTATGCTAAGATACGAACGCAGTAAATCGTTATAACTGAGCATATGTGTATTGTTAAAATCGCAAATGTGAATTGAGACTTTTCCTAGATGCAACCAGTCACCATCGTCGTCGGTACCACTGCATGATAATAGATTAGATTTTATGACGGAAACACATACATACTCGTTTTTCGTGCTTGCAATTTTGCACCGTAATTCAGTCGATGATTCAAACCTTTTGCGTACTACAGTACTAAGGGCTGTGACCACACAGTCAGTGAAGAATTTCAGCAGATTGCAGCGAGAACGAGTAAACTTTTGTTTGCACCAACGGATAGTTTCCTTAATCTGTTTATTTGATATTTAATTGTTATAATAGTCTCGAGCCGTTGGGGCGGATTTGATAAAAATCTTTAAACTCTGGAGCAATTGCCATCATAATTTATGTTTTCGCTCAATATCTTAGTTTGTGCTTAATCAATGTTCGGCCCACCAACAAAAGTATGTACCCTCTGATAAGATAAACAACGACAGTATAAGTAAGCATCCAGTTCAATTTCGACTTACACAAGTTGGTTCGTAAACGTGAGAATTGGAGGGTTAGTCATCATCAACACGGACGCCGAAGAAAGCTCCTCGCTACACCAATATTAATATAGGTATTGGACTGAGTCTAATGGAAATTTGTTTAAAAACTATGCATTAACTCGCATATTGTATTTCCTGTTCACTATGGTTATAATATTAATAAACTTTTTAAATATGTAGCCTTTATCATAAAAGAAGTCAATTGTTTGTAAAACTTTTCTCCGCAGTTTATTAATTTTAGGTAAATAGATAATCAGCATCATCAAAATACATATTGTATGGTTGATTATATTGATATTAAAACAAAACACAATTGGAAATAGTTTTATCCAACGACTTCTTTTGAAATCGCACATTCTTTATTTCTTTCTAACATAGTTGAATATACAGTAATTAATTATCTGCCGGACAATATCAGTCCTAATAAAGCAAACTTTAGCAATATTCTTTGCAGGTTAGTATACGCACGACCTCAAGTGGTGTAAACAAGATATTATCCGTTGGAGTCAGTGCGAGTAAATTAACGTTAATATTGCGGAGAAAGCGAGTCTGTAATTAATTAATTATTGAAAAAAAATTCATTTTGTTTAATTACTTTAAATAGGTAACTGATACCCCAAACACCAAGCCGAAGTATTGCCCTGTCAATTAGGAGTTAACGTTTCTGCTTCGACTCACTGAAAAATTATTGTTATTAACATTATTCTGCGGACTCCCTTTACTATCGCCCGAAAGAGCGTTATATAGGAAACGAGAGGAGTGCATATAAATAAACGAAAAAACAGCTCAAGATTTCGGTCTTAATTGAGCTATCGGTGTAGTACGGGCAGCTGAGCTAGTTTAGGTTCGAAATCTCGCTGTCGGTCTAGATATTACGCCGACCACAACAATTGTTATATTTGCTATATATTAATATAACTAATCGGAATTATTATTATTTTCCTTATGTTAATGTTGCGCCCTAGCATTTCCCTGCTTCTTTTCTAGTCCAGTTCCATTGTCATAAACCTAATTTAAATTGAGCTCGAGCAAGTATTTTTTGATGCCATTCAACTGCCTTTTGTTCATTCATTTCTACACCAATTCCATTTTCATAGCACATGCCAAGATTATATTAAGCCTTGGCATATCCTTGTTCAGCTGCTTTATGATACCATTCAACTGTTTTTTGTTCATTCTTTTCCACTCCAGTTCCATTCTCATAATACAAACCAAGCTTATATTGTGCCCTAGCATTTCCCTGTTCAGCAGCTTTTTGACACCATTCAACTGACTTTTGTTCATCCCTTTCCACCCCACTTCCATTCTTATAACACACACCAAGATTATATTGTGCTTGAGCAAGCCCGTGTTCAGCAGCTTTTTGATACAGTTCAACACTCTTTTGTTTATCTTTTTCTACCCCAATTCCATGCCCATAACAGTAACCAAGATTACATTGTGCATCAGCATTTCCTTGTTCAGCTGCTTTTTGATAATATTGAACTGCTTTTTGTTCATCTTTTTCTGCTCCAATTCCATTTGCATAACACATACCAAGATTAAGTTGTGCTTCAGCATTTCCTTGTTCAGCTGCTTTTTGATACCATTCAACTGCCTTTTGTTCATTCTTTTCTACTCCAGTCCCATATTTATAATGTACTAGTACACCAAGAATATATTGTGCATCTGCATTACCTTGTTCAGCTGCCATTTGATACAGCTCAACTGCCTTCTGCTCATTTTTTTCTACAACAATTCCATTTTTATAACACAAACCAAGATTATATTGTGCCTTGGCATATCTTTGTTCAGCTGTTTTTAAATACAGTCATACCTCATTTGTATCCCCCCCTATTGTATCCCAACCTCGGCTATATAGCTATATCCCAGGTTTTCATCTGGACGGATTTCCCTTATTGTAAATCAATATAAATCTACCTCATTTGTATCCCAC